TAAAGGCTGCGGATGCCTTAACGCATTCAGGATGGATGGAGGCTAAAGTTTTCGGTATCAGGCGATTGCCTTGAAATCTAAAGAGCGCCTTGGCAGCTATTTTTCAGTCGGGAATTAGGTAATGCTGGTTTTCAGAGCTACAATATTATTCTGGAGACTATTGCATGATGGAAAATTTGGATTTATCAGCTTTGAGAGGTAGAATATCGCTCTGGAAACTTTTGCACGGTGGAAAATTGAGATTCTCCAGCTTTGAGAGCTACAATATCGCTGTGTAAACTATTGCACGGTGGAAAATTGGGATTCCCCAGCTTTGAGAGCTACAATATCACACTAGAAAATATTGCACGGTGGAAAATTGAGATTCTCCAGGTTTGAGAGCTACAATATCGCTCTAGAAACTTTTGCACGGTGGAAAATTGAGATTCTCCAGCTTTGAGAGCTACAATATCGCTGTGTAAACTATTGCACGGTGGAAAATTGGGATTCCCCAGCTTTGAGAGCTACAATATCACACTAGAAAATGTTGCATGGTGGAAAATTGAGATTCTCCAGGTTTGAGAGATACAATATCGCTCTGAAAACTATTGCACAGTCGAAAATTGGGATTCCCCAGCTTTTTTAGCTACAATATCACTCTGGAAACTATTATACACTAAAAAATTAGGATTCGCCAGCTTTGAAAGCCGCAATATCACTCTAAAAACTATAACACAGTCGAAAATTGAGATTCGCCAGCTACGAGAACAGCACTAGCACCTAAAGACCTATTACACACCAAAGAATCGGAATTCGTCAGCTCTGAGAACTACTTGAAAATCGGAAATTACGATTCACTCATTTCGAGAACTACAATCCTCAATAACCTCGAACGCGTGAACGTTCGAAAACGCGACGTTCTCCAGCGTTGCGTTTGACCCAAACGCTGCGGAGAAAAATGATCATCGGCGGAGTCCAGCGGTAAATTCGGCGGAACGTGGGTTGCGCGGTTGAAGGGTCGTTTGAGGAATCGCGTGGAGGCCCGGTAGGATATCCCGGGCGAGCCGTGGTCCCGACTGGAACGAGAGCGAAGAGCTGACAGTCGAACGAGTCCGAGATCGAGAGAGAGACTGGCTAAAGTATAATCAGGTTTCGACTGAGTCCGCGGCCGCATGTAATAACAGTAATCCCTCGGTTCGCCGGTAATTTGGCCGTTCGCTCAAAAACTCCAAATTATAGAAGTTGCTGTCATTAGGCCACGGCGAGCACCGTGTGTATCGCGAGCCACCTTCTTCCCCGAACCCTCGGGAATTTTTGGGAAACTCGGGCTCTGGCCCTCTCGCCACGGATCGTTAGCGATCAAATGGTGTCCATCGGAAACCTACACTTTCCCGATAAACTGATGCAGAACTGAGGCGCACCGACTTGACGGAATCATCGACTCGATGAATCTTCTGACAAAGACTGAGACCTAAATGCAACATGTCTGTTAAGGTACAACAATGATTTCAGTCGAGTGTCACACGGATTCTCGAGTGATCTTATTGCTAGAGTTTCTAAGTTTGATCTGTCGATGAACAAGACTTTGAGACACCGAAATTGAGAGCGCTTGCCGAAGGAACGTACGCATCCTTAAACATCCTTTCGCCTAGAATCAGCGAGGCCCGAGGGAAGGACTCCTTAGATCCGTGGAAGCTGAAGCAGTCGAAGAAGAAGCGGAGAATGAACCAGACAGATCGCCCCGGGGCCACTCTCTCGGCCGGATAGCCTGTCTCGTTCTTTCCTCTCTTCTTTATCGTATCAAAGGGGAACAGGCGGGAAGGAACGAGAAGGGAATCGTTGCCCGTACACCTCGAAACACCGTTTAAAACTCCATTATGCCCGTCCGTGATCCCCGCGATCTGTGTCGAGGCTTCGCTAACACGTACCCGCGAACGTACCCGTCGATCGCCGGACGTGACACGTTCCTGGATCCTTGGGGGATCGAGGAACGATCAGGGGATCAACCCTGTTACCTTTATTCCCTTGCCAGAATCACTGCCGATGGTAAATTGTACAATGAAACTGCTTGGACCGAGTAAAAGGTATTGGGATTCGAGGATTAAACGAGTCGATCGTGTCTGGTGTATAATTTGCTACCTTTCAGACTGAGTTTGGTCTTATAGTTTGATATTTTAACCCCTTGCGAAGATTCTTTTGAAATACGAAACCTTCAGCGGGTGAAGTTCAATTATATCACTTGCTTAAATGATGGAAAAGAAAACTACGTGATGTATTGTTTGAGTAATTGGATCATCTGCTTGTGACTTAATTTTCGAGTGAAAGTTTCATCTCGGAAAATCGTCGACATTCGTCCGCGAGGGGTTAAACGTCAAATATTTTAAGGGTTGCACGTTGGTGTAATAGCTGGTGTTTTAGACATTGTGGTTGGTCTCGTAGTTTGTTATCGTAGACGTTGCATTTAGTTTTATAGTTCGCCAGCACAGACGTTGTAACTTCACAGCTTGGTGTTTTACACGTTGAGTTTGGCTTCGCAGCTCGATATCATAGATGTTGAACTAAATCCGGCGAACTCGGGAAAGAAACTGTATCTCGATGTAAGTCCTTCGCTCACCGGAAGCCGCGGGAACAATATTTCACCCGACACGTCTTGAAAAGCTGACACATTTACGAGGAAACACGGGGCAAAATATAAATATCGACGAACGCAGAACGCAAACTAGGGAACGGCGAGCGGTTATAATAAAGCTGCGCTGTTGGTTTAAATTACCCTATCGGTCGATTATGTCACGCGTCTTTTTTATGCACGTTACCCGGCCCTCCGTATGTATGCATATGCATGGCAGTTCGTCGATAAACAATCGTAATTATAATTGTAAAACTCGCTCGATAACATTTTCCCTGCGGCTTTTCCTCGCTCGGTGGTCTCCCTGTTCTCAAATCGCGCCGATCGCGCGGGAAATCGGTTCTGATCCCATTTACTCCGTTGTCTCGCCTCGCGACCGGGTCACTCGTAAGAATGGCGGTCGCGCGGGGCGCTTTACAAAGATACGTTTACAACGGAACTGTAATAGACGCTAAAGTAGTGTACCGAACAAAGAAGCTTATTGTAAATAAAATATCTTTGATATGTTTATAGCTAATCTACTGGAAATTGCTGAAGTTAAAGAGGATAACGCGTTACTATGCGAGGTATTAAAACAAAGTAATTTTGTTCCTTAATTTACATGCGAATGCTCGTTAAGTCGGTGAACAAAAAAATATCGTCTATAGATCATCAGGAAATATTGAATATTTCTAATGAAAACATTCGTATGCAAAGTTATGTATTATTCGTATCGTTGATTAATTGCTAGACATGCCTCCGCGCGTCGTTTCAACGTAAATGCTTCCATTATCAAACAAAAGCTTGTGTTTCTACGCTTCGCCCTCATCGCTGCTCAGATCGAGCGCCGCGGCTCCGCTGCAAACGTGCCCTAAAACGTCTCTGTTCCCTCGCGGAGAGCGATAAAAGATGGGAGGGCAAAAGGAGAAGAAGGAAAAAAGAAGCTGACGCTCATTCAAGTATATCTCGGCTAATTACGAGTAACGTATGCAAACGATCCGAGCAAAGTTCAGACGGATATTCCTCCGCTCGCGGAGGTGCTGCCCTCCCCTTCCTCGCAATCAGTGCCGCACTCCGTCTCTGTCAGCTTAGCACCGGTTATCCCCGGTCTATCTTTCTCCTGATGTATCGAACGTTACACACGTGTATGTATCGTGTGTCCCGCCATATTTATGCGCGTCTGGCACACCGGCGCGGCGTGGACGCGCGCGCCAACTGAGTTAACACGACTATCTGTTTCACTATTTTCGTGTGTTTTCTACTTCGCCAATGCTGCTTTCGCTGTTTCTGTGTCTGACACAGGCAGCTTGGATGTTAACGTTAACATTGCTGATCGAATCCTTTACTTTCTGTAACGTTAAAGGTGAGAGGAAAAGATAGCAAAGAAGTCGAAAGACGCCGTAAGAAGATGGTCTCTGTTATCGATTGATAATGTGTACTACACTTTGCTTTCGTACAATAGGCATCGACGTCGTTTTAATTGCTCACAATCCCATGATCCACTTATGACGGGCTTTCAATTTCCAGTTGAAGTGGATCGTCATTTGAACCTTCAACGAATGAAACGAATCTATTGTAGAGAATAAACTATGCGGGTATTTTTTAAACCCATCTTGTTTTTTCCTGCTAATCCTTATCAGTTTCTATTCAGAGACGAAAATCCATTTACTTACGTTCCAGCTGGCGGAGTAATAATGGTCATTCCATGTACGTGTACCGAATCTACGATCTATAGATAGATGGCGTGTCGCGTTAGCGCATAATCGATAAGGCTCGCATGAAAAAGGCAGTCTATAGGCTGTCTGCCCGGTGAATCGGATGAAATGTGTGTCTTTGAAGTGGCGAGAAATGTTAAGTCAGTCATCGGATGCGCTTTACGCGCAACCACCCTCCGCCGATCCCATTAGCGCCGGCTTTAGCCGCATGAATTGTATATGCGCCGCGTCACGATACTTCGCGGCTATCGTACTCCTCAATGGCCAACAAATTAGCGCCTCTGTCACCCCCGGTTTCCCTTCAACCATTTTCCAAACGCGAAGTAACGTACAGTCAACTGGAACTTGTACTTCGAACTCTCTCCTGCGTTCATTATTTTCTTCAAAATACCTTTCACCACTCAATACTTGCAACAACCTGATCATCCTACAATACTAACATTGCATCTTCTCTAATACTATATTCACAATAAAAGTAGATCAAAAATCTTTCTACTAACACGATTCCCCAACGTCTACCTCAAGTACAAGCCTAACACAAAGCATTACCAATGTTCACCAAAATAGCACATAATCCAAATCTGATGGTACCCTAACTGAATCCTTCAAAATACTTGCGACGAAAAGACACGTTAATGGATAGAGATCCGGTGAACGCAGTGTCCGCTGAAAGTTCAAGCCTAATAGGGGGCGTTACCAACCTTTTTCCGTTCCGGCGTCTCCGTTTGGTAGCATAAACGGTCCCGAGCTGGCTCATGGCGACCGGGTTGTTGGGTCCCGACGCCGTGGTCGGTGTCGGCACCGGCGCCGAGGTGGGCGTCATCGCGGGATCAACGACGTGGGGCTGAGGGTGAGAGGCGGTCAGGGTAAGCTGAGATCCCGGGGGATAGCATGCCGCCGTCACGTAATCCGTCGCCGCCGCGAGGGACGCGCTCGCTGGTCCACAAATCCCAGCGACCACCCCCTGCACTCCACCCCCGACGTTGCTCCCG